AGCTATTATAGAGTTAGCTGAATACAGGGATTATATAGGGCTAGTTATAAATAATACTAATAGTAGTAAAGGCTAGGTTAAGCTTATAAGCCTAATCTATAAAGGGTATCCTCTAAAGGGTCAAATATAAACCATTAGCTTAGAAGAATAACCTAATAGCTGACTTTGTAAAAAGGGCTTTGGTTAAAATTATATAGGCTATAAACTTATAATTCATTATTTAAAAAGGGGTCTATTATAGTCTAGGAACTCCTAAATATTAATATAATAGTTACCTTTATAGATACTAGAGTAAGGAACTAATATAATAAACTTTTATCTTCGTTTTAGTCCTTTAAATATAAAAAGCTTATATATTTTATTTATTATTTTAAAGACTATAGTAGTTTAATATTATTAATAGTCGTTTATAAAATAGTCTTTTATATTTAGATCTTCCCCTTTTTAATTATTTTCTTTACCCTTTATAGGCTTTAGTTAAATCTTTTCCTTCTTTTCTTTAATAGTATTATTCTATATTCCCTTTTTATTTTTTTTTATCTCTTCTTTTATCTTTTATATTTCTTTTATCTACTACAATAATCCTTTTTCTTTTATTACCTTCTTCTTTAAAATAACTACCTTTATAATACTTTAAAGTTCTTTTATTAATTATTTAAAGATCTTCTTTAAGTCCTTTATCTTTTTAATCTATATTTATAATCTTTATTATCTTCTATTTTTTAATCTTATTAGTTTTAAAATATAAATTATTTTAACCTTTATCTTTATTTTATCTATTATCTTTTAGTTTTATTCCTTTAACTAAAGCCTTTATATCTTTAATCTTTTTACCTTTATTTTAAAATCTATAGATAATAGTTATATTATCTTTATTCGTTTAAATGAAAATAAATATTTATAAACTCTTTAAATATCTATATATAATTTATTATAGAAATATAATACTTTTATCTCCTTTAAAGACCTTTAATTATAATATATTTTAAAGTTTAAAGTTTAAAATCTTACTATAAAGTTAAATCTAATAAAAGTTTAATTTTAATATTATATTATTTAAATTAATCCTATAATAGATAATATAAATTAAAATCCTTTATTAATATTATCTATCTTTATAAAGGTTATTATTTCTATAAGATTTAGATTATTTTAATATTCTCTTTAAAGCTATATATTAATTAAAATTTTATTTTCTTTACCTTTATCTTTAAAAATTATATTTTATAAAACCTTTTTTCTATTTTATAATTCTATTACTTTATATTAAACTTCTTATTAATAAATATTATTATTAGTCCTTTTAATCTATATATTAAATAATATTCTATATTCCTTAAATAATAGATTAATCTAATTTATTAATTAATCTAAAGATCTTATATTAAAAGAATATTAAATTAAACCTTTTTTAAAGTTATTTTTAAATATTATTTATTTCTTTTTATATTTTATAATAACTTCTAACTTTTATTTAAATCTATTATAATATCTTTTATTAATCTTTTAAAGTTTATTAATTTATTTAAATAGATATTTAATTTATCTATTTTTATAATATAGTTATTATCTATTATAATAATATAATAATTAATATTAAAGGTTTAATTATTAAATTTAGATAAATCTTTAATAGATCTTTTTCTATTATTAAAATCTTTATTAATTAACTTTTAGCCTTTTAAATCTTTAGATACTTTACCTTTATCTTATAATATTTATTCTCTTTTTCTTTTTAAGTTAAAGTCCTTTTAAAGATAATGGCCTATATCTTTATTTCTTCTTTTAGCTTTATTCTAATCTCTTTAATTAGTTTAAATATTCTAGATCTATATTAATATATCTCTTTAACCTTTTCCTTTCCTTTAACTTTCTTTAGATATTCTTTAGCTTATATTAAATATCTCCTTTTATAGTTAGAATATCTATAAAGTATTTAACTTTAGTTAATAAAATATAAGGTTTTATTAACTTTTTTACCGTTTTTATAAGCCTTTATATTATATTTATTATATTAGGTTTCCTTCTTATAGAACTATTATATATATCTTTATTTCTAATATTTAAAATATCACTTTGGCTTTAGAGCTTTTTAATATAGTTTTTAACTTAATAGTTAAACCTTTTAAATAATACTTTAATTTTATATCTTTTAAATCTTTTTCTAGTTTTAATCTATAACTAATAAATATTATAGCTTTTATTATCTTTAGATTATTTTATAGTTTTAACTTTACCTTCTTTACTATTAATAGATCTATTTCCTTTTCAAATATTTCCTTTAATATTCTTTAGAAGTCCTTTTTCTATAATCCCTTTATTAATATTATATAGGTCTTTCTAACCTTTATAGTCTATTCTTTAAATATTCTTTAGATCTATCTAATATTATTAATATATTAGATCTTTATAATTATATTATTAAAGGTAATTATTATATTACTATTTAATAGCTTTTAGACTATAATTATGCTTTTTCTAGTTAATATCTAATTAATAATCTATATAATCTTTAAGTCTATTAATAGTTTATTATCTTTTATTAATAGCTTCTTCTTTACTTTCTAAAGGATAATCTTTATTAATTAAGATTATATTAGCTTAACCTTTCTTATTATTACTATTATCTATAACTATCTTTGTAATATTCTTCTTCTTTAATCTATTATTATCTTTATTACTTTTATATCTTTTATAATAATACCCTTTACCTCTCCTCTTCTCTCTTTAGGGACTATCTCTATTAACTAGGTTAGAAAGCCTTATAGTCTTTCCCCCTTTAAGGGGCTTCTAGGAGTTAGATAGCCTGATAGGCTTTTAAATAGCCCTAGGCTTATTCCTATTTAAGGCCCTTTAAAAGGCTCCTTTATTAATAGGTTCCTTACTATCCTAATAAAGCTAGTCTAGGCCTAAAGTTAAATTAATTAATACAACTAAGAGCCTAAGCCTATAACTAGATAAATTAATATAACTAGTTAGCTTAGGCTAATAGTTAAACTAATTAGTATAATTAGCCTATAGCCTAGATTAGAGTAATTTATTTAATCCAAGTACCGTTTTTATAGTATTTAGGGGAGGGGGGGTTAGTCCTCTATTAGCTAGATAATATAAGGTACTAGCCCGATAGCAGCTATAGACAGGTATATAATGTTCTATTAATCTATCTTAAGGAAGAGAAAAGGAAGATACCTATATATAGTAGGGATTCCCCCTAAAGAGAGGGGGTATATAGTATATAACCTAACCCTAACCTTAAGCCTCTTAGTTAAGGTCCCCTCTAAACCCTTAGAGGTACTATTATATAACTAACCCTAACCTAGGTATTACCTAGATTAACCCTATTTAGCCTAGGGCTAAGACCCTAATATACTCCCCTGCCCTAAAAACAATTATATATAAGCTATATACTATACCCTATCTACTCCTTAAACAAATATAAAAGATTTTCTATATACTCCTACTCTTCCCCTACTTCTTTACCTTTCTACCAGTACTTATTTTCCGATATAGATTAATCATTACTATATATCTCGTTCCTATAGATATCTATTCTTAATTAAAAATAATACTGAACTACTATTATAAGACCTTTATATTATACCCTTTAATTATTCTAATAAATTCTAACTTATATATAACTAAAATATCTATAATAGTCTAGATATCTACCTCTAGTAATAGTAATAGTAATAGAGATTACCTACCCTATAGTAATCCTAATAAGGTCTATTATATAAGTTATCCTAAGTTAGTTCTATCCTATATTTAGACTAGAAACTTACTAACTACTCAAATTATAGAAGAATAAAAGTACTAATACTACTATTACTAGCTTTACTATTAAGGGTAACTTAGTATGACGAATTGTATCAACCATACTCTGAAAGGGTTCACTGAAGGTACTGGCAAGGGTTGTGATTCGGTATAGCCAAAAGGTACATAACAAGATGACAATCTGGTCTCAATGTCTATAGTAGTTAGTAGTAAACAAGTTATATTACTTACTAAGGAAGTCCTAGACTCCCTTAACGAGTGACTAGCTAGTTATCTATATACTTGATGACTTCTTTGTCCCGAAGTTCCTTTATACCTTAATTATAGTAATCGTCCTACAATCTTTTGTTCCTAGTATTTCGGGTGATCTGTTGGTCGCTTCTATAATCCTATAATCACTCCCCTGGTAATTCCTGATTAGCCTGTTATTACTAGTCTATATATAACTATAGTAGTCGCTCCCTTAATCTTACGATCACTCCCCTACTAGTCTATATACTGGCCTTAATATATTGGTCGTCATTTATAATATAATGCCCTTCCTTAAAGGCCTTTATCCTGAAAGCTATAAGACTCTAGGCTCTAGTCTCTTCTTATAAGTATAGTGTTTTTTTTTTTTTTTTTCTCTCTCCTATATCCTCCTCTACTGACCTTACTAAGATAGTAGGCTATATATCTAAAACGAAACCATCTTCCTTAACTCTTTATACTAATCATCTTCTAGCTACTATTCTTTTATCTAATAAACTATCTATTATATAGCCTTGTTCCTCTTATTTATTAAAGGGCCTTAAATCTTATAAGGTCTCTATAGCTGATTCGTCTTATTATACTAAGTATATTCGTTTTAAGTATCTAAACTATAATATCTTTAGTATTTCTCCTATATAGCTTTGAACTATTATATTATAATACTAAAAGCTAGAGGACAAGCTTATAGCTATAGAGGAGTAAGTCCTCTAACTATATAAATAGAAATATATATAGTTTAAGAAAATAATATAGGCTATATTATAAGGTATTAACTCTATAGAAGAGTTAGAGAGGATTGAGTATAAGGAGGCTAAGGAGGCTACTACTATAGAGGCCTTCTAGGTTCCTACCTTAGCTCTACCTAATCCTTCTTCCCTAGCTACTAGCCCCTTAGACCTTTAGGATACTCTTCCCTTAGTCGACCCTTCCCTTCTTAAGTGAGTGTTTCTTCTATTACTCCTAATAAATAAAATGGTTATATAGTATAGTAGTAATATATATACATTTTTAAATATACTTGCTACCCCCTCCTTAGGTAGCAAGTATAGACTTATATAAGGTTATAGGTTTAATTCCTATTATAGTTATAAACTACCTATTATATTCTAGTAGAGTATAATAGGGGTTTGTTTTTTCCTGACTGCTGACTATTATCCTTCTAGTTCTTCCTTCGATAATAGTAGTTTTAACTGGTCTTCTCTAATAGTATAGGGCAATTAGGATACTAGTAGTAGAAATCCTATAGCTTCTCTAGGCAATTGATCAAGTTTTCTACTAGCTACTATAAGTTATCCTTAAGTCTGAAGTCCAACTATTTAACTAAGTATTTAAGTTGCCCCTTTATAATCCTTAAGTCGAGGATTTCCTCTATATCCTATTCTTCTTCTTTATCCTCTACTTTAATATCCTTATTAAGCCTTAAGTTTTTTAGTATAGGTTCTAGTAGTATAATATAAAAAACGTTCGTTTATAGTTTTATAGTTAATAGTAAGGTAAGGGTATAGTTATTCTCTAAAATCTTTTTGTTAATTCTAAACGGTCTGATTTTCCTAAAATCTAATTTCCTACTAGGCTATTTAGTCTTAAGGTTTTATAAACTAAGGTAGACCTTATCCCCCTTCTCTAGACGAGGTCCCTTAAGCCTTTTCTAGTTATAGAACTTCTTTATCCTACTCCTTATAAACTCGAGTTCTTCCTTAAGTATTATATAGAGTAAGCTTATCTTATCTGCTTTAATAGTAGCCTAGGGTACCTTAATATTAGGTCCCTAGTATAGGTCTAGCTTATAACTAAAGTTTATAAAGTATAGTATAACTTTCATTATTTCTATCTTAGTAGTATTATAGGTAAGTTATATAATAGGTAGTAGTTCTACCTAATTATCCTATTAGAAATTAATATAGAGTTAAAGGTATTGTTTAATAACCTAGTTAAATTATTCTATCTATCTATCTATTTATATATAGTATACTATTAAGAGTTTACTTTTTATATCGAGTCTTATTATTAGGGCTTATTAAAACTTCAAGGTAAACTTAGTATCTTGGTCTATTATCTACTCCCTTGGCTATATATAAATTAAAGTAATATATTGATAGAAAGTATCTATAAGTTATTCTACTATCTAGGTTTCTTTATAGGATAGAAAATAGGTCTACTTAGTAAGCCTATCTACTATAGTAAGGATACTATTATATACTATCTATATTATAGTATCCCTAGATTCTAGTAACTTAGTAATAAAGTCTATTATAACTAAACTCTATAGTCGTTTAGTAATAGGTAAGGGTTATAGTAGTCTATAGGGCTTATATTGTCCTAGCTTACTCTATCTATAGAGGTTATACTTATTAATGACCTCCTTAACCTTCTCCTTAAGATATAGGAAATTATAGTATTACTTAAGCTTAGTAGCTATCTTTATAATTCCTATATATCCTCTAAGTTTTAACTAGTAAACCTCGAGTATAAGGTCCTTTTAATCCCTAGTTTTAATATAGGCCTTATTATAATACTAGAGTCTTATCCTATCTAGTTATAGGCCAGGGGTACTTACCTCTAGGTCTATTTCCTAGTTAGCCTATTCCCTACTAGTAATAGTTCCTTAAAAATCCCGTTCTCCTCTTTCTTCCCTAAAAACTATATAATATTCTATAAATGGTTATAAAGGTACTTTCTCCTCCTCTATCTATCGGTAAATAGCTATAATCTTATAGCCTTTAACCTATTATAAGGTATAGTAAAGGGTATTATCTACCTATTATTATAGTAGTACTAGCGAGTTTTCTAGTATATTACCTTAGTGATCTATTCTCCTATTTAAGGTATCTACTTATATATTTTCTATACCCTTCTTATAGTTGATTATAAAATTAAATTCTAATAAGAATTCTACCTATCTAGTTTATTGTCTATTTAAGACTTTAGTTATTATAAAGTACTTAAGGTTTTTATAGTCGATATAGACCTATACTAGATAGGTAGTTCTACTAAGATAAGGCCTCTATTCTTAAAATACTTTAATAATAGCTAGTAGCTCTTTATTATAAATAAGGTAGTTAAAATAGGGCCTATCTAGCTTCTTTAAAAAGAACGCTACTAAGTATAGCTTCCTACTCTTATCCCTCTATCCTAGTTATCCTCCGATTATAAAGTTTAATACATTAGCTTCTACCTTAAAAGGTAGGTTAGGGTTTGGCAATAAGAGTACTAGGTCTACTAAGATACTTTATTAGATCTTCTAGAACGTCTATTCTTAGGCGTCTCCCTACTTAAACTCTACTCCTTTCTTAGTAAGTTTATATAGTAGCTATATAATGTTACTAAACTTTAGAATAAATATTCGAATAAAGTTTATAAATCTAATAAATCCTCGAACCTCGGTAGTATTAGTAGGCGTTAGCTACTCTATAATTACCTAGATCTTCTAGGGTTCGATTTTGACTTTTCCTAGCGAGATTTTATACCCTAAGAAAACTATTTTCTAGATGTAAAATTTACTTTTTCCTTTATTAACCGATATCTAATATTAGTATAGTATATCGAGCACCTATTATATATATTATTAGTGTTCCTTAAATATCTTAGAGTAGATAAGGATATTATCTAAGTAGTATATTATAAACTTATTGAGGTAGGGTTAAATAGTATAGTTGATTATAGCTTGGAATATTACTAGTATATTAGTAAGTCTAAATAGTATTACTAGGTATTTAAAATACCTATAGGGTATCTAAAAAGCTATCTTCTATTTATCCCCTTCCTTAATATAAATATAGGTATATACTATTAGTAGGTCAAGGTATATAAAGTATTATACTCTAGCTAACTAGTCTTAAAGCCTTAAGATTAGTAGTAGAGGATACTAGTTCTTGATTGTCTTACTATTTAGTTATCAATAGTCTATATATATCCTAAGTTTCCTATCCTTTTTTTAGAACGAACAATACTAGATATCTAGTAGGTAATATAGACGGCTAGATATATCTAATCTTTAAGTTATTATCTAAGTATTTCCTTAACTTAGTATCTTACTTCTTATTAGTATAGTAGACCTTAAAGAACTTTAGCTATACCCCCTCTTTAAGTTTGATCTTATAATCCTAGGGTCTATATTCTAGGAGTCCCTTAAGGTACTTGGCTTAAAATGCTAGGTATCCTTTATATTCCTAGGGGACTTTACCGGTTATAGCGGTCTTTATAATTCCTCTATAGTAGGTAAACTTATTATTCCTTACTTCGATACTTATAACTTTAAGTATATCGATCCTTTTTCCTCTATACTCAATGCTTACTACCTTAACTAGGCTGACCTATTACTTGATTATAAGCTTCCCTTTTTTATCGACTAAGATAATAGTAACTTCTTAGTCGGTCTATATCTTCTTTTATTATTATAGACTATATTTTCTAGAATCTAGAGCTTATTCTTCCTTACTAACTATTTCTTATAATAGGCCTATAGGGGTTATATCTCTCTATACTTTACCCTATTATAGCTCCTATTCTATATTCCCTATCTTATTAGTTAGATATTCCTATAGTTTATATAGTTATAGATAGCTACTATCCTTCTAACTAATATCTAGGTTATATTCCTTATACTAGGGTAACCCTAAAATTATATCCTTAGTAGTTCCTATATCTATAATGTCAAACACTACCTTTATAGTTTTCCCTTCTACCTTAATGTTAAGAGGTTTAGTTTCCCTTCTAACTATCTAAGTCAGGAATAGTCCTTATACTAGGTAAGGTTCTTTCTTTATTCTCTAGGGGATCCTATACCTATTGACCAAGGTAGGATTAATAAGGTCTACTTAAGATCTACTATCTACTAATATTAGGGCCTATAGCTGATTCTACCTAGCGGTAACCTAAAGTTAATTATCCTGACTTCAGTCTTGAACGGTAGCTACCTCTACTAGGCTAGCTAGGAGGTCATTATAAGGTCTTTATTTATACTAGTTCTACCTATACTATACAACCTGTCGTTTAGTTTCCAAGCTTAGTGGTTGGCAGGCCCCTCGGAGGGCCTATAGTCGTTTATTGATCTTCTGAAGTCTCTTGTTTTTATACCACCTCCAGTCCAGCTCTTCCTCCTGAATCTCATTATACTCCAGGAGTTGTTGTTGCTTATAGGCTCTATCCTAGACCTGTCTTTATAGGCCGATAACTTCGTTCTTCAACCCCCTAATCGATAGCTAGAGGTTATTAATCTTATTATAGGACTCGAGTACTTTCTTCCTAAGGTACTAGAGGTTAAGCCTAGGTTTTTCTCCTTCCTAGGTAGTATACTACTAGCCCTAGGAATCCTAGGTCAGTATCTAGCCCCTATACTTAGAGACATCGGTTCCTTTAAAGTAAGGTATAGTCTATCTAAGCTCATTAGTATAGAAGCATTTATCATCGCTGTTAATAGGCTTAGTAGGTTATTCCCTATATTTCTCTAAGATATCTGAAAATTCCTTGTCTTCCCTTCTAAATTTAAACCTTTCCTTATCGTTATAGTCCCTATAGAGTTCTTCTTTATAGTAGGTATAGTCAATATTATCCTGATTAATACTACTAGCGGTAACTTCCTTGAACTTAACTCCTTTCTTAATAACGGTAGCTTCTTATCCTAGTACTAGGGACTATTATCCTAGTATTCTATTCTACCTTTATAGGCTCCTATATTTACATTTATAATAGCCCTTCTTCCTATAATTATAGTAGGTAATGCTAGTCTTATTATAGGGCTATTTATTAGACTACTAAGTCTAGACTATATCGACCTCTATAGGCCTAGGTTATATACTATAGGATATACCTATATATTATTTCTTCCCCTTATTAGCCTAGTTCCCTCTAACAATCAACCTCTATTGTCCCTTTCTCTACTACTTTCTAGTATAAAGGTAGTTATTAATATAGATAGCCTTAGTAATATACTTATCGAGAGCTAAGGGGTAGTCCTCCTTATATAACTTATCCTTAATATCCTCCTTTAGGCTATTATAGAACAACTATATTAGGCCTTCCTCATTAATACTAGCCCTAATAGAGTCTTATTGAAATATTATAGTATAGGTTATAGCCAACTTAGTCT